TGGAAACGATCTGACCAGAGATCAGTTGTTCGAATTCGTTAGCGGAAAATTATCATCAACAATGGTTCATACACACAGAAAGTGACCGAAAAGATGCACAGGACACATTTCGTAATATTTCAACTGACCTTCCATTAAAATTTTATTGCCCAGCGACAGAGCGAACCAAATGCAAACAGTGGACATTTGACATAGCTGCACCTCAATAAAAGCCCGAAAGTGAAGTCGTTACCAACATAAGCTTTCATATACGATCCTTCTTTACGCTTACTAACCCTCCAGTGACATTGGCTCCCGACCAGAGATCTCTAGTCAACTCTATACTAGACCCTACTTTCCATTTACTACCAATTACTATGCATGATCATGATATCTGCTTCATATTCCTGGAACCACGTACCCTTTGTTCTGACTCTTTTCGTTTTACCTTCAAAATTCGAAGTTAGGGTTTGACTGGTGATGCAGTTTAATGGTTTCTGTAGTGTGTCTCACCCACCTCAAGCGCCTTTTCCTAATATCTGCCTCGAGCGGCAGCTGGTCTGTTCTCTGCCACAGTTTGTTACTGATGGTCTCTGTTCAATGGATCTGGAGTATCATACATATTGGGTAACAGTTGTTTTGAGTCACAGATATTCTTCAATTGTAAGAAAGCTCCCCTTGTTTTGCCAAACTGTGCATTGGCATCTGCATCAAATCTTTTTTATTCATCAATGATGGTAACCACGTACGTGAAGGTTTCCATCTCATCCAAAGCTTTTCCATAGAGTGTGATTTAATTGGTGCTTCAGGATTTCTCTTTTTCCCCTGTGACGCCTTTTCTTGCCGAAGCCGATGACTCACTGGATTCCTCCATCTGTATATTTTGCTGTGTATGCTATAGAACCTCTATGTAATCTGTAAAGTCTTTTTTCTTAATCCATGAAGGTCTTCACGATCCAGTCAGTAACTTAAGGAAAGAGAAAAGGTGAGGATATGCATCCTTCTTTGACATCAGTCTTCACTCAGAATACATCTATCTGTAAGCTCTCTTCCATGCACGGCTTTATAATTCAGTCCTCAGTAGGAGTTCCAAATGATGGTGACCATCTTCTCGGGCACTACATAGAACAAAAGAGAATTTCATGGGATTTAACTATTCAGGCTGTCGAATAACCTTTTCAGAATCAAGAAAGTTGACGTAAAGTCCAATTCAATTTGTTATTCATCAATGATTTACAGTATCGCAATTCGGTCGATAAAGAATAATCCTTAGCAAACCCAGCTTCCTGGCGTCGAATTTGGTTATCTACTGAATCTTTTATTCGCTTCAGAAACACTTGAAAACTTCCCCCTTGTAACGAGAGTGGCATGCTTCTGTAGTTCTGACACTGATTAATACTTTCTTTGGTATCTCAATGAAGTACACCCAATTAACACTATGTGGTCGCGGTCGTCTTAGTATACAAAAGAAGAAAACTTGAGTAAATATAAATTATCTTAACTAATATCCTTTATATGTTCTTCTGAACAATAATTCATCGTCTAACTGAAACAAATAAGCTGTGATTTCAAGACAGTCTGGTAGGTTTCTTCTCTGATTGACAATGTATCGACCAGATACTCTACCAATCATTGCAAAATAAACAAAAATTATTGATGATATGTTACTCAATCAAATAATAGGTATTATCAAGAGAAATAGATGAGTGAGAATATCCTAAAACCATTCGAATCTGGTGTTCTGTATCAAACATCGCTGTATTATATAACCTCCGAAAGTAAAATATAAGCTGAGGTTATATATATTTGAGGAATAATCCCTTTGAAGATTGCTAGACGAATTTTGGGTTTATAAAGTGTGTAATCTTGGTATTAGTTGAGGAGTATTGTGTAGGTAATGAATCCTAGTCGACTACACTAAATGTTGAGTCAATAGTGTTGAAAATAAACTAGATACAGAAGCCTCGCGGTGATCAGATCAACAGTGGTAAAACTTCGTTACCAGGTACACGTCTATGTTCATATATGGAAGGTAATGACTCTACACAGGAGAAACAGTACAACTTACCAATTATTACCAACGGTTAGACTTAAATTCAATTGCCTGAACGTACCATTACAGTAGGAAATAACTAGACAATAATCATTCGAAGACCACATTATTTGATAGATGCAAAGAACCAAACACTTAAACCTGGTACTGAAACATAAATTATAATAAATTCGTGTCTGTGTGTGTTATATTAAAAGAAAGAACCATGACAAACATTTGTGCATGAAAGAAACCGATTTGACAAAGGTTTTAATGATGAAAGTAGTTATGATATCAAATTTCATATTCGTATAGTTTCGAAAAATTAACAACTGGTAAATAAAAGCAGCTTGTAAAATGACAAAATCTAGAAAGACGTTTATGAAACATAATATTACGACTTTGCTTACGTAGACAGTCGTATACAGTTACAACTTGACAAATCCTTTTACATTCGTGGGCAAAGTTTTTTAGTACAGTAAGCAATAAATATTTTATTATAGCACTATTCAATATTCACATTTGTAAATATTTATTTAGCAGTCATAAATTCAGGTCAAATATATTCATTGTGATTTGTGAGGTTTAAGTACACGAAATTAGTGAAGAATAAAACGGACAAGTTGAACAACGTGGTATGCACACATAGAAATATGGTTAAATTTTGTCTTTGGTGGTAACAATTGTTTCGATGACACCTCCCTGATAAATGGAGTGAACATAAAAATAATTCTAGAAACTAGAATGAAAATGTAATGTATTCCTCGTAAAATAACGTGGAAAAGTTCTCAGATGGCTACAAATAAGAATGATGTATAGCTAAACAGAATGTCAGCTTTTAAAGAACTGGATTTGAGAGGGTCGCTTTCAAAGTTGAATAAACCCACCAATATAAATCCTAGTATAAAATTATTCAGTAATTTCCGACTAGTTACTAATTGATAATGGCTATGATTCAAAGTGAATTGTGATAGTTTAAATCCAAATACATCAGTGTGTTCCACACGTTCTTTGTTTTCTTTGTAATACCTATTTAGTAAACAGCGCTTTTCTTTACTTTATGATTACAGCATACAATATATTAGTCACAAAGAATTGGAAGTACTGCGGAATGCAACCGCGATATGAGTTCAAGGTGTGGAACACCTCCAATTATGATTTTTGACAAAAAATGATCTATGAGCGAACTGCATAATTTAACAATGATATGAGACAGCTGTGATTGTATAATCAGTCCATCATAATCAATGTACAGCCTATCACAAATCTGTGTCATTCAAAGTATCTATACCCCTACAATACGAGACGAAAGTAACAAGATGAATAACTGAGTTGGAACAATAATAGTAGTAATGATAATGAGGGGAACTAAAGCACCACGACAGAGTTTGAGACAGAATGAAAATATATGTATGGAGGAATATTACGACTCAAGGTTTAGAAGATAAAGAGTAAATACACTTTTGTCATTGTGACCGATTCTAAGCCATGTTACACACCTCCAGTGGTTGTGATAACCGCGTAGACTCTAGTCAGGTAGTCTGCATCTACCGGCATGATTCAGACCAACAGTCAACGATTTCATGGACTGATGCCACATTTTGGCTTGGTCACCCTTAGCTTTCTTTCAACCTAGTCCTACATCAATTAATACTCTACATCGAGGTAAGAGGGGAATAAGCATGTGTAACATACGTCCCAACCACCTAAATTCATGAACATTCACAACGTTATCAATCGATTCGACATCTTCCCTTAGTACCAGACGTTGAAAGTCAACATTGTTCATCCGATCGTTCCACAAGCTAACAATGCTTTGAAGACATCGCAGCCTAAGTATATATTTCATTTTCATGGACCATTTTTTAAAGCCACAAAATACTACAAAATGAACTATCATGAAGTTCATTAGCTGAGATTTGTATACGGAAGTGGTGAGTGAAACTACAAACGTTGTGAGCTGAGAAAGAATCCAAAGTAATGACCTCCAGGTAGTCGACTAAGCACTTTGTCATCTACGATATGAAACCCGTATCAAAAGAAGGTTTCGATTTCGCCACAACCACTGAGTGGTTTTAACTAACTCAAGTACAGTGACCGTCCCCGTGAACAAAACTAAATTTGTCCATCAAGACTAGGTAGAAATCAATTAGTTTCTATTCCTGTCTTCCTCAAATGTGGTTTAATTGGGTGTAGAAGTGTGGGTTGAAGCGAAGATCTGGTGACCAGATGCGTTTCACAAGCTAACATATCAAAAATTTTAAAAAATATCACTATCTGCACAATATTTTTTGTTTAGTTTTTAGACAACACCATCTTATATACTATGTACGTTCAAAATAGTCGCTGCCACGAAAACCACGCAGACAAAAAAATAATTTACATCATAAAAGGTATAACCATCTATAGAAACATGAAAAATTTAATAAGAGATTCAGGAATGGTTGATATGCCCACGTACATATGCCTTTGTGTATTGGTAGTAAAAATAAAAGGAATACACGTAAAATTAAAAATTAAGACAATTTTAGGTAGAAAAGTATTGTCTCATAAATACATACAGTCGAAGGTTAACTAACTGCAGTTATTGAGTTCACTAATAAGGAGACTGAACATTTAATACAAATAATGATAATACACGAAGTAACAACAGAAGATAAACTGTAAATTGTGCAAATATTTAAGACAAGAAATTTTCATGTGAATGAATGGTGTAGTGTGTTATTTAGCAGTTTAACAAATTATGCGTATCAGTGAGGTATTTTAATTTAGTAGTATTGTAAATTGAATGAAGCCACGTGTCATCGAGTTTGATGCAATTGTGTGTGAGCACAAATAATGAGTCCCAAATCGCGACGAAATAATTGTCGTTCCCCTTCGTTTATGATAAGTTTTTAGCTTATCTTATTTTGTAGTGAAACACTACTTTTAAATTCCATAAGCCTTACCACAAAACACTTCAGTAATAACTAATGTCACTTTAACTTACTTGCATCCGAAAAGTGACAGCACCCATAATCTCCGGCCGACATTCATCGGACGATGGAATATGACTGACCAGTTGCTGAAATCAAACAGTATAAATGCAGTTATACGCCTAAAGTTGATTTTTAAGAAATTTTACAAAGAAAAGTTGGGTAAATATCTATAGTCAATCGCAAACTTATATATATATATATATATATATATATATATATATATATATATATATATATATATATATATATATATATATATATATATATATATATATTATATAAACAATCGGGCTGACTGAATAACTAATCAGTTGCACTTTAATTGAAAGAAAAATAACGGGAGAGAAAAGACAGGAATGATACAATACCCGAATTCCATATGTTCACGGCAGTTTGCCAAATTAATTTTAAGCCGTAAAACTCAGGCTTCAAGATCGACCAAAAGAAAATCATTAACCTAACCAACCACATATATTGTTCATCATATGCTTTAAACAGACACAAAAATTTGTGCAAAGCAAATTTACACAAAGACAAACACGAAAAAATTTGCACCACACAGTAATTTTTTAAGTTGCTGGACCTTCCAAAAACAAAGATAAGACTAAATAACGGTAAGTAGATGTAAGATAAAATGTTTGGGTGTACGAAAATACAAAAGGAATAGTTTGGTAGGTGATCAAGTTGGTCGGATTGGTACGTTACAAACGATATTCACAAATGATATGCAGATAAGCAATCTTAATTTTGCTTACGAGATTAAGTAAATATTACTGATTGTATCTCATTGATTTGATATTCGTAAATAAAGGATGTTTAAAATCATGCAAACTCCTGGCAGGTGTTATTTTATCAGATACTAACCATCCCCTTCACTCTTATCTTTCTCCTTGTATATCTTTTGGTAGAACGAGACGTAATTACATTAAAATCCATACACGCAAGCAATAGTATAAAAGTTCTATAATACCTTACCTAGCAAATATACTCTGTGACGAACAGGTTGTTAGAGTTAACCTAGTCAATAACCTGCATTCTTAACATGTCTCTAATTTGAAAAGTTGTACAGTTTTTTCAGATTGTTTTAAACCTTTTTTTCCTTTTCGTCTTTGTTTTTGTATTTTCGTGTAAGAAACTTGTTGAAATAACCTGTGCTGAGAATTCTATATTGTACCAAAATATAATATTGAATAAAGCCATTAATAATAATAATAATAACGAAAAGACAAGCTAACTATTCCGATGTGTTCCAGACCTGCTAACTAGAGGGAGAAGACCAGGTTGGGATGAGCGAAATGTATATCCCACAGGCAGCTAGAAGCACGAACAAACCAAGCACACACCTCAAGCATTTATATACACAGTATATTACGGTCTTTAGGAAATGTTACAAAATAGTGTATTAAAAGAGGCAACGAACCAATGACATTTATGGTCCCTCCAAGTGAGAAATACATTCTGAAGGTAAAATCGGGTGCTTTTGGCGCGAAAACGAGAAATTCAGATTTTCAAAATAAAATTACAGAATTAAGACGTTTACCAAGTGATTTCTGAGGATCTAGCATCTAGTATATTGAAACATTGGATTTATGCTGCTCCCATCGCAAGGTTGAGTTTCTCGTTCTATCCATCAAAACAAACACCTAGAAGCCAAGTTTATCGAATAAGTTATAATTTTCTAGTTACAATCAACTGATTAGAACGGTTGAAATGTTAACAATTGCATAGGACTACAGAAAATGGACACGGTGAACAAATAAAACTTGGAAATAAAAAATAATTTCTCAAATATACCTCATGTTGATCTATGAGAATTTGTAAAAAAGCATCTGCCTCTACGATACGACGGTCGAATTCAGAAAGGCTGCAAGGATGTTCCAGTAAACGATTGGTCTGTAAAAATGAACAAATAAAATGCTCCATAATATCAACTATCGAAAAGTAAAGATGAACTGCAAAAACGAGAGAATCAAGCTGGCTTCAGACCTGATCGTGGCTGCATCGACCACATATTCACCATTCGTCAGATTCCATAACACAGGCATACTTACCGGCGTCCGACAATCATGGTCTTTCTTGACTTAAAAGTAGCATTTAATTCCGTAGACCGCGAGATTCTATGGCAGTGTCAGTCATTGAAGTGCGTACCTCAGAAGTACATAAACCTCGTGAAGGTTCTTTACTAGAACACCACTAGTCGAGTCAGAGCTTATGGCGAGATGTCATCTGTCTTTGCAACTTCAAGTGGTGTCCGTCAAGGCTGTCGACTTTCTCCATTTTTGTTTAACTTCATCATAGACCTACGTTCTCGTCCACTGAATTCTTGGGCATTGATCTCATTCCAGAAGGTCCACTTATCGAGTTAGAATACGCAGACGACATAGTCCTATTGGGTGGAGTAGCTGATAAAATACAGAGTCTTTTGGTAGCACTAATCTCGTCAATGGTTGGCAATACCGTTGGTTTGTGCTTGACATAAGCCTAGGGGTTTTATCTTATTACACGTTAGTTTTTTAAATTATGCGGTTTCATACAGTTTCTTCGAAGGGTGAACAATATCACATCCAGAGAAATGGCACAGCGTGTATATTATTGTTAGTTTTAATTCAGCTATCTAACCTTTTCAACATATTACTTGTTATGCATCTGCTTCGGCCAAATATATACACTAATTTTGATAAGAAATTTTTCTATGTTGGGTGTTATGATATGTCCATATTCACCATGAGCTGTGGGTTTTTCAGATTCATATTTGTGCAGTAAGGACAGAATGCATACAGCCTATGCCATTCCTTTTCTGGTATGCTCCTGTGTGTCTAGTCTTCTCTTGAATGAGTCAATTAGAGGTGCGGACACCACTGCTTCGGGTAACAGGTTCCAAGAATTGATGACTCGGTGTGGAAACCTGTATGCCAAGGCTATTTTATTCGTTCTAGACTTTTCTACTCGACTTCATCCTTCCAGTCTGTAGGTGACTCACATTGGCCAAGTGATATGCTGAATATCACAGTTAGTGAGGCTGCAATATATTGTGCAATCTGTCTCGGGATTTTGGGATGTAGTTCACCCGGTCCTGTTGACTTTTCCGTGTCTGAGTCTAAGCATGTGCTCCAGAATGAGAGACAGTCTACTATCATCGGTGGCTGGTAGCAATGTGATCTATTTGGGTCCAATGTTGGGACGAATTCGGGGGTCGCCATGTCAAAAGATGTTTTTCCTTATGCTTAAAGTTAGTGTCTGCAAGAAACAGACGGTTATCTGAGCATAGCTGCAACAGACGGTCGCCATTATCTGTTCTTTGAGCCGCGACACCATAAAATTCACTCAGGAGTCTTTCCCTTTCGCTTACTTTACCTACTTGAGCATTAAAATCACCAACCTCTATTACTACATCAGAGCGCCTAGCTTTTCGGAGGTCGGAAAGCTTTCAGTAAAACTCATCTTTTACATCGTCTTATTTATTTATTTGGACACATGAATATTGGTACAAGAGAGCGCCAATATATATGCGCCACACAAAACAATGAAAATTCGAGAGGAATACAAAGAAAGAAAAAAAAAGCTAAGGAGCGCAACAAAAAAAGAGAGAACAATAACGAAGAGATTGGTGTAAGGTAATGTGCTAGTAATCAGGGAACGCAAAGGTACAATCGGAAGAAATCTTTCAGGTAAGGGAGACACAACCACTTTTTATGAAGAAAGTAAAAGAAGGTTACAGCAGGATCGCCACTGGCTTCTATTCTGAGCCATATCTGATAACGTCTCTAGCCACTGTGTAGCACCATCTCTCAGACCCCAACCAGGGAGTCGTGAAGGACCAACACAAGCCAGTCCTTTGCAGCTTTCTTTCATGCCACGACACCATGTCATGCACTGACCACCTCTCCGCTTCTTCCAACCAGTCCCAGAGTCGGCAAATAATGCACGACGTGGAATTCTCTGGGACGACATTCGGAGAACATGTCCAAGCCACCGAAGTCGGTGTTTCAAGATGGTGACACCAATTGAATTATCATCTCTGTGCCCGAACACACGATGCCGAACCTCTGCATTACTGACATGGTGTTGCCACTGAATGTCAGCAATCCTTCGGAGACAGCGATGATCGAACACAGAGAGTCGTCTAACGTCCTCAACTCGGAGAGGCCAGGTTTCACAAGCATAGAGCAAAACTGCTCTCACCGACGCGTTGTAGATCCGACCTTTTACAGCCAGACTAACATCACGAAGGCGCCAAAGGTGGCCCAGATTGGCATAAGCCGCTCTGGCTTTCACTATACGTGCATTGATCTCATCACTCACACCCCCACCAGCACTTATGCAGCTACCCAGATACACGAACTTCTCGACTACGTCTATCTGCTCACCATCCAGGGTGAGTACAGGATTGGAATCCTGCCAGTCTTGTAGAAGTACTTTGCACTTCGAAGGTGCAAAGCACATACCATACCTACGGACACTGATTGCCAACTGATTAAGTGCGGATTGCATGCCTTGGGCATTATCGCACAGTAAGACAATATCGTCCGCATACTCAAGGTCGAGAAGTCTTTCTCCAGGCAACAGATCCACACCACCATTACTTACATTCATCAGAGCTGTTTCCAGAATGTCATCGATGGCAAAGTTGAAGAGGAATGGTGAGATTGGGCAACCCTGCCTAACCCCACTGCTCGAATGGAACAATGGAGAGAGGTGGTTGTATGCCCTCACTCTGCCTGAGGTGTTTGTATATAGGGCTTTTAGGATGTTAATAAACTTCTCAGGCACACCCTTCTTCAATAGACAATCCCAGAGAACAGTCCTGTCCAACGAATCGAAGGCAGCCCTGATGTCAAGAAACACTACGATTGTTGGCCTTTGATAAGTATGGCGGTGTTCTAACATTTGGCGGAGGGTGAAGATATGATCAATACATCCTCGACCAGAACGAAACCCAGCCTGCTCCTCGCGAGTCAATCTTTCTCGGGTTTTGAACAACCTACGAAGTATGACGGAAGCCAATAGCTTGGACGCAATCGGAAGTAGACTTATCCCCCGATAGTTGTTACAGGAACGACGTGAACCCTTTTTAAAGATAGGGACAACTATCGACTCATTCCATGACGTTGGTACACTCTCTAGTTCCCAAACCTTTGTAAACAACGTCGTCAATTCCTTAGTCAAAAAGTCACCACCATCTTTAAAAAGAGCCGGAGGTAAGTCATCTGGGCCAGGTGATTTGTAACGCTTCAAGAGTTGGAGTTCCTTGCGGACTTCCTCCTCGTTTGGTGGATCAGTCGTCACCGGCCATGGAGGGCAGGACAGTCTGACCGACGTTTCGCAAACCCACAACTGACTGTTCCCGCCATTTTCATGGCGTCATGCAATTGCAACCAATGCTCATCTATACTTTTCGGTGGAGTGGTAGCTAGCCTAGAGGCTAGCTCGGTTCGATACTTATTTGCAACAGAAGTTGCAACCAGCTTGCTAACATCAATCTTTTGGTGGTGGTCACTTCGTTGGCCACTGAAAAGTAAGGCAAGATTGGCGCAGACCAAGGCATGGTCAGAGTCCAGATAGGTACTCCAAAAGGAGCGGCAGTCTTGTACACAACCACGCCAGCGGTAGCTGATCGCGATGTGATCAATCTGAGTCCAGGCTTGGGATGCAGAGGGAGGACGCCAGGTGGCACATCGGCGATGACTGTGCCGAAAGTTAGTGCTAGCCAGAAACAGGTTGTGGTCTGTGCACAGTTGCAGTAGACGGTCCCCGTTATCTGACCTGCGACCAACGAGTCCCCATCGGCCACCTAAACGACTCTCTTCTGTGCCTAGACGCCCGACCTGAGCATTCAAGTCTCCGGCTAGTACTACAATATCTGTCGAACGCACTTTCTGGAGAAGAACAGATAACTGGTGGTAAAACTCATCCTTGATTGCATCCGGGCTGCAATCTGTCGGGGCATAGGCGGAGATGACGAAAAGACATCGTTTCTCACGCCGATTTCTTCTCACTTTGATGGAACTTTCTAATCTAACAGCACATAACCGACTGTTAATGGGGATCCAATCGACTAGTGCTGCCTCAGCTCTAGCGCTTAGTGCGACACCAACGCCAGCAAGACCAGACGAAGATGCCACAGGGTCCCCGGATAAGCGCACGTAAAACAAGCTTTTTGAAGTGACAGATGTAGAGCGAATTTGTAGTACTTCGCTAGAGTCTTGAATACGGGTCTCGGATAGACAACAAACATCAATATTAAGACTTTCCAAAGACATAGCCAGCCCTATCTGTTGACCAACCTGCATAAGTGTGCGAACGTTGAAGGCAGCCAGTTTGAATGGCGCACGTGGTTTCAGAAAAACTGCTTCAGTACTCATATTCGATGGTAACATACAACTTTCAACCGGACAGTGACTCGAGAACGTTTAGATACAGTCGGATTTCCACCAAAGACGAGCCGCTGTATAAGTATAAAAGAGGGTGAATAATGTGGGAAATAATAATAATAATAATAATAATAATAATAACGACAATAATAGTAATAATAATAGTATTAATAATGACAATAATAGTAATGATAATTATTTGAATCGACTGATTGTTTTTCGGAGCGATAAAAGTAGTTGCCAAAGACATAGAGTTCATCGTTTGTGTGTGGGCTGTGATACTGCCCGGGTGCCCAAACCGAAGCAGGTGGTTTTCTTAGGGGGCCACTCCCCGAGCCTTTGACCTAAAGGTCTAACCCACAAGGCAGTGGAGCATCGTAAGGAGATGCAATCCCATGGTAGCCGGTGACCAAAGATTGGTTCATACGCCATTCGTTCCCGCAGGATACTGGAGCCCATGTGCACCATTGGTTTGTGATCCGGTTAAAGCGCCGGACATTCGCTTTTCGTCCTCTCATTTTCGTAAACAACACCCCCGCCACGAGAAGGCAATGAGTAGGACTTCCCTGGCAGAGGCTGTATACGCGCGGCCGTGTGAGAGTATTTCGAGAGGGAGAGCGGACTCACCCCACTCTCGGCCGTACCAGGGCATTCGGGGGCTCGTCTGAGCTACAGTCAGTGGAAGAATGAATCTTTAAACAACTGTTCAACATCTTTATAATATTTATCGTATTCAATTGAATTCACATAGTGACACTTTCATGATTTTTATAAAACTCTACTATTATTGTTGTCATTAAAATATGCATTTCAAAGATCTAGGAACATTAAGTTTATACACATCGATTAGTCTCTAAACACTTAGATTTTATACTAGTCAACAACCTAGATTTGGGGTTTAAGAGAAACTCTATACACTAGAACTGTATAAAACACTCGATCCACACCCAGTGTTGACTGAAGTTCAGGATACTGGATAAAAACTGACTCTATCTGTATGAAACTAAATGGCACAAAATAACATTTCACCTTTAATTAAACCCCTACCAATTTAATTTTCTGCGTTCCACTATTTTTGATACCTTAATTTTTTGGTTTCTCTTGAACTAGTATGTTTTATCTCAACTAAACCGTCGAAACGAAGAGATTTGTACCGATGAGTTGTAGTGCTAGATCCTTTAATGATTAAATCATTAGCATCAACAGAACTTTTAGTTTTCTTATTTAATACTTTCCTGAATCACTTTCACCAGACATACGAATCAGGTAGAGGGAAGAAGCAGTATATGCTACGTTCCGTGAACGTAACCACAAGTTGATGATAAAAAACAAAAAGGTATCTATATATAAAAACGAATATTTCAATCATCAATGACAAGCATATAGACATCACATGAACTATAGTCAGTGAAGGACGAATCTAGAGTACAATATTTTCTATATTTACAGTGAGTAATTTAAAACGGTAAGAATATTTATAATAGAATATTTTTGCCTATTAAGTGGTTTGTGAGTATTTATGTGCTGTTAGAGAAATCTAGTTATTAGAAAATATATTTAGAATTATCATCGGTGTAGTCTGTACAGTTGACAATATTAAGGGGTTAATAAGATTGAATTATCAAATCTATGATTTCTTTATACAAAAGTGTTGCAACGTGTTAACTCAAATTCGTCTATTTACTTTAAAATTACCTGTCATTAAAAACTAAAAAAAAAAGACAATTACCACGTACGAATACACAAAAATAGCACATGAAAATAAAATGAGATTGGTTAGATGACTTGAGCATATTAACTAAATAGACTACTAAGTTGAATAAAAATAACTATATATAATCACTAACTTGATTCAGAAGAGCATAATTCTGCGTATGTAAATCCCTAGCCTCCTGTAAAGCGTCTAGCCACTTTTGACGTTCATCTGAGTTACGAGCTAAAGAAAAAATTGATATGTATAATAACTGGATAAAGATCAGATACAAAATGATTTACGAAACTAATAAAATAAACAGTGATTTAGTTAAAGCAGCAAGGTTTACTGTATTCACTCGGCTTAACTTTCACTAAAGTAACAATGAGTTATGATCTACAAATAAAAGTTTGCGAATCCCATGGAAACTTTACACACACACATTTCTCCTTATCAAAACATATACAAGTTTGGAAAGCGAATATCTTATGATAACAGTTATGTAAATCATTGGTTTCGATTTGTACTTTTATTTCGAGATGAACAACTAGACGTTATTATCCGTATTTCATGTAACTAGTTTAGGGCTGGTGGTATTAAAACTTAGGCTTAGAGTTTTAACTCATCCCTTCTACAACAAAGCAATACTAATCACCACGCAATCTAGGGTCAAGTCATTTAAGTGACAGTGAATAATGAAAGGAAGAGCGTGACACTAAATAACAGGACATTTTTAACTGTAACTAATATTGTTAATCAACTTTCATACTGATCAGAAAAATGGTGATCTGCGGTTTCGTACGCAATACTAGAGTCACTAGATTTAGCTCACTAACAAATATCAATGTATCTAAATAAAAAGTTTAAATAAAATAAAGTGTAACTAAGTAATCTGTCGAACAACTAAGTTTTAACTACACAATACGGATTATTGTTACTTTAATATTTTGACCGGATATGTAAACCATATTGCATCGAAATTGAGAAGAAAATGTTATTTGTGAAGTAGCTTATACAAAATATTATTTAACAGTTAAATTATTTTTTCAAACACTCAGAAGTATATAAGCCTACTGATAAGTACATAAGTATAATCATATGACTGCTAAGCGTTAATATTCAAATGAAAAACAGTATCGATGATTAAAGGATGAGCAACCATGTGTTGTGAACGGGCATTTATATTCAAATGCAACCTTATTTTAAGATAAAGTAGTACTCCAAATGACTGTGTAAGTGAACTAAAATTGATTTATGAAAATACAATTTTGTACAGGAAAATCCTACTCAATGTCAAGCTCATCAGTGACAAAGGTATGACTAATAAGTCAGTGTGAAATGTTCAGAAAAATCCTCACACAATGCATAGAGCACAACTGGAAAGTTCAAATAAATGCATATTTATCCTGTTATACGAAAGCCTGGACCAACCAAAAAAATCTACTAATCTGTGTTGTTATACTACACCGACTAAAGACACTCAATAGTCCAATCTTAACAGATAAACAACAGTGAACAAATACCCACCCTGAACTAATCAGATTTAAGAAACACACAAACATTATTATCCTAGTGATAAGACATAAACACGAGTAATCATATAGAAAATACATAGACCTTTTTTATGCAAGTAAAATAAAGCAGTTTTAATCCCAATTTAAGGGAAGTCAAGGAGTGTATACACCTTCACCATTGTGATCGATCCTCAGCCATATCACCCAGAATCTCCAACCATTGGTTACGATAGTCGCGCGGACCCCAACCAAGTAGTCTGCATCTACCAACATAGATCAAACCAGAAGTTAGTCATTTTATTTACTATGCCACGTTTTGGATTGGCCGCCCCTAACTTTCTTCCATCCGTCTCCAACATTAGTCAGCATTGCGCACACTGTTAATCGGTGTTCAGGCATATGTAACACGTGGTCCAACCATCTCAGTCGATGAAGAACAATACCGCACTTCTGAGACAGGGACAGAGAAAAGTAGCTGAAAGGAAGCTTGAGGTCAGGAATAAACCATACTTAGATGATCTGAAAGTAATGGGTATAAAGCTTTCACAATACATGACGTTAATTTGGTATGATATGGGTATATTATACTGATAATAATTGTCTTTATCAAGAATGATATATTCCGAACTTTCAGATTAAATAATGATCATGAAGTAACATAATGCTTATAGTACCCCATCCTGAATGATCACGTTAAAGTTTTAACGGTAAGTAAAGGCTAATGGTAAAACATGAAATTGGTAGTATAAATGTATGAAGGGATACTTTCGTGGTCAAAGTTTGTAGGTTGTAAAATACACCTCCGAATCAGATAGTGTTATCTACTTCCGATTTCCATACCGTACTGAGAAAAACCACCATAGATATATCCTCTCAAAAAACCCCATCAACCGTTGACTAATATTTTGATTTTCCAAGTCCCTGGGTGTTTATACCGTTTCTTGTCTATAACCATCTGGTACAAGTCAAACACAATTTCCACAGAACAATCAGTTGGGCAATCTTTCACAGAGCAGTTTGAAATTTCAAAAAAAGTGTAGCGATGACGGAGAATAAATCAGTACGGTTACCTTGGAAGTGAAATGTTTTGTGATCAACAGTTATGGTGAATGTGCTATCATCTTCATCATCAATCCCAACTTGAGCATTTTTTAACTTTACACATCCACGTCTATCGCCCCGCATCATCTTCTCTTTAGACTAACAAAGAGAAAAAACAAGGATTTTAAAACTACTTTATGATGCACTAACATAAGCTAGTCAAAGACTGAACATTTTGAAGAGATATTCACCCAAAACAACAATAAAGACGTTAACCGTTTGAACAAGACTCAAGTCAATATCTAACTTATAATGTAAATCATACGTACGTGAAAGTTTGGATTAGGTGAAATTCCAACAAGATTGTCAAGATCCCTATTATTACGACCTAGTTACTTATTGCTTAATATTCCTCGGACACTACTTCATTTGACAAGTCCCCGAATCAGAACAGGAATGTGATTATATCCCAAATAAACACGGGCGAATAGAGGTAGGAAGCATTATAAAAAAACTTTAGTAATATTTATAATTCTACACAAGAAGCTGTTAGTCGTCTCCAAGTATCTGATACAGTTGATTGGCTATTACTTAGCCAATCAAGATGACCCAATACAATACTGCTCGGAAAATGCTTTATCCAATCTATATCACGCTAACAAAGATCTAGTAAGGAATTAACACAAAAAGCAAGAGTTAGAAGTTTACATTACCACAACAGAATTCTTAAATCAACATTACTGTCTGTTTATGACGGCGATTCTGTGAGGGAATGTATATTAGATTGGTGAGGTTACAAGACGTTGTCCGTAATAAATACCAACTGACATGATTATTGTGTCCTACCGGTTCAAACAGAAATGGATGTACCACACGTAAGCTTAAATCCATGCATGAGTAAGACTGTTTAAATCTCCTTATTGTGGATGATAAACAATCTACCAACTAAGAATGTACTTATTACTCAGATTTGCTGAATAACTTGATAAACGATGCAATGTACGTAGGAATATGTAATATAATAATATGGTCAGTGTTTGGTTGGTAATGAATATATTTGACAGTATGAAGATGCTGTGGGCATTTCCTGCCAGTTCCAGGAATGATTTAGCTAGACACACCTTATTTACAAAGTTCGATTTCAAACATCTATTGTGTTAGTTTCTTCGTAGGAGCAGAAGCATCTTGCATACGTTCAGTTTAATTCAGACTTAGTTATGTAATTTATAAAACCGTCTCAGTAATTCACGCATCGTCCACATTTTTTGGGTTCATTAATGAGTCCACTGTGACAAATACCGTGCTCACTGATATTGGACAAACTATGGCATCCATTGAACACTTGACAGAGGTTTATGCTAAACTCAGAAAAGCTCAGATAGACATAGTTATTACTTTTAAGAATTAATTTTCGGCTAAACATTTTTATGCGCTAGTAAATTTAAATTATCTAAATGATATTTTGGTCATTTCTTTCCAGGTTAGGTAAGTGTCACAATCCATGTTTAAGACGGTTCCAAACCTTACTGACGGATGGACGTTATTTTGGAAGTGATAAACATAGGCACTCTATGTTGTGATACATGGCAGTCAAGTGATCAACTGAGGCTAATATACCTTCAGTAGAAAAATTCGCCCTTACTATAGTGTATTTATTTATTTATTTTAACACATGGATATTGGTACAAGAAGGCACCAAATACATATGCCCCACAAAGATCTCATTCGATATGTGTGAGGGCTGTGATACTGCCCGAGTGCCTAAACCGAAGCAAGTGGCTTTCTTAGGGGGCCACACCCAGAGCCCTCGACCCGAAGGTCTGATCAACAAGAAAGTAGAGCAACGTGAGGAGACGCAGTCCCATGGAAGCCGGTGACCAACAATTGGTTCATACGACATTTGTTCCTTCAGGATACTGGAGCCCATGAGCACCATTCGTTTGGAATCAGGGTTTTCCAACTCCCCGAGGTGGACTCTCCATGTCCACCAACCCGGTTAAGGCGCCGGACATTCGCTTTTCGTCCTCTCATTTTCGTAAACAACACCCCCGCCACTAGAAGTCAGTGAGTAGGACTTCCCTGGTAGAGGCTATATACGCGTGGCCATGTGAGAGCATTTCGAGAGGGAGAGCGGACTCCCCGCACTCTTGGCCGTACCAGGGCTTTTGGGGGCTAAGCATAGTGAGTGAAGTTGTCGAATGTTTAATTACGCATCAAGACTACTGTTTTTGCCCCAATTGAATTTATTTCAGTCAAAATAATCTCCGAGAAAATAGCTTTTTTTCTAGAGAACTTTATCATACGTACTTTTCGAGTACAGATATAAAGGGCAGTGGTATTTTATTTCCTCGTTGAGTATATCTTTTAGTATTGTTTGTATCCAAAGTGTTAAGGTCTTTTTGTAACCACTGAGGTCGGATTTTTTTATCATTGTTAAATACACTAATATACAAACTTCTGGGTTTTTTTATGTTCAGTGTGTGATCAAAAGACAAAATAAGTTAAATGATTAATTTACAGTCACACCCAGAAAAATAAAAGTAGGAAAATAGAGTGAGACCTATGCGTTTGACGCCAAATCGGATTGCAGGGAGATTTCAGAAATTAAAATTCTACAGCGGGTTAGGACGGACCTCGCTGACAGGTCAATCATTGTTCATAAGAGAATCTCTCGAAAAGGAACCAAAGGCTAGTTTTGAGCATGACCTAAGCTACATTAAGTCCTTAATAAACAAGCTACTCCCAGAAACAGTTTCAGGAGTTAGCATCTGTAAGCTTTATAGAATAAGACAAAAGGTGGATTCTGAAAGTACTTAGAAAAGCCGCCTCTTAAAAGTTACCTTTGCTTCGGCTGAAGAAACCTGATACTGGGAAACACACGCAAACTGATTGGATCTGAAATATACGTCCGCGAAGATCTCAGTCTGGTTGACCGCATTAAGAGACGATCGGCAGAAGTAGAAACAAATAAGCGTCGCCGAAACGATGAAAAACCTCGGACTTAAGGGTTTTCATATTGTACAATTTCGAAGCTCTTCACAGAATTAACGGTATGCTACACAAATGCTCGCAGTCTACTAAATAAAATGACGGAGCTCAAAACAATGGTGGATATAAAAAAAACCGAATATCAGTGCTGTCTCAGAAACATGGTTAGCGTCAGAAATGTTTGATAGTGAAATTCAGTTGATTGGCTTTTTATCCTGTAGGGCTAATAGACTAAACCATAGGGGAGGTAAAGTTACCCTGTACACGAATAGTACTTCAGCCATACGAGCTGTTGGGACAGTGGTACATGATTCAGGGACATATAAACTGGTACGATGCAGGTTGAAATGTAGACGGCAAGATAATGAATTAGTTGTAGTATATCGCAGTCCAGAGCGTGTATTAGATGACTTCCTCCTAAGCAAACTGGTGTAATAGGGGTAAAAGTCTTACAGTAGACAACTTTAATGCACTGGAAAAACTTAGAAGTAGGGTCATCAACAACGTCATTTGATTGTAAATCGCTAGAAACCATAATTGCACTAGCTTTATTACAGCACATTAGAGATCCCACCAGACATGACTTACGAAGCTCCCCGTTTCTCTTGAATTTATTATTCACTCACGGTGACGACGTCAGTCAAATGATTTTCCCTCCACATCTAGGGAAAAGTGACCATACAACCATCTTATTTAAGTTTATGGATCAGTTGTTCTGTCAAACAGTTGCGCCGACCCGTCCTAACATATGAAAGGCAGACATGGAGGCGACAAACTCTGTAGCATCGGTTGAAAACTGGAGAATGGACCCGTATGCAGTTAGTCAGCTACAACGTAGGACCAGGCACATATATGCATCGGTCCAAGTTGCCATACCTCATTAACACAACAAGATGGACACCGGATTCACAAAAGTAGTTAATTCAGAGGTGGTAATATATAAAAGAAAGATTGCATATAAGGATATAGTACAGGAAGAAAGAATTAGTTCGTAGAAAGAAAGATATGAAGCGAATTTTGATCTCTTAGTTTAAGGGAAGACAGAGAGTGTATACACCGACGCCATTGTGATCGATTCTGAGCCATGTCACCAAGAGTTTCCAACCATTGGTTACGATAGTCACGCGGACCCCAACCAAGTAGTCTGCATCTACCAACATGGCTCAGACTAGAAGTTAGTGACTTCAAGCACTGATGCCACGTTTTGGTTTGGCCGCCCCTAACTTTCAACAATCCCCAACACCGGTTAGCATTGCGCGTCGTGGTAATCGATGTTCAGGCATACGTAACACGTGGCCCAACCATCTCAGTCGATGAAGATTCACAACCTCATCAACTGATTTACCATCATTTTCTAATATCCTGCGTCGAACCTCACTATTACTTACTCGGTGATCCCAGCAGATGCCAGCAATATTTCTAAGGCATCTGTGGTCAAATACTAGTAGCTTACGAGTGTCTTCTACTCTTAATGGCCATGTTACGCTACCGTAAATTAAAACAGAACGGACTGCCGCGCAGTATACTCGTCCTTTTATTGATAGACGGATATCTCGCCTTCGCCACAGGTGACGTAAGTTGGCAAAAGCCAAACGAGCTTTTCGAATCCGTGCTGAGATTTCGTCAGACACCAACCCATTAGGGCTGGTCACACTTCCAAGATAAGTGAAGTTGTCAACGCGTTCGACTACTTCACTCACTATGCTTAGTTCAGATGTTGACGCAGACCAGTCCTGAAGCAGCAGCTTGCATTTAGAGGGAGAGAAGCGCATCAGTAGAAGAGGCATGTACTTATTTCAGGCAGTTTTACAATCGGGTAACTCAACCATATATACCCTGGACAGTTCAAAAGCGCGGTCATCTGTGGATAGGCCAGGATATTCGATATTTACTAAGACAAGTAAAAATGTTGTAACTATATCATTAGAATCCACACAGCAAGTACTATGAAACGCTACAGGTCGGTAAGAAATAAGTGTAGAAATAAAATCCGGGAAGCTCATGGAAAATATGGAATACAGTTGGCACAAACTGCAATCAAGCAGCCTAGGAGACTAATCTCATACATAAATTACAGAACAAGGATGCAGCAATGTATTCCCAACCTAATTACGGGAGAGAGTGGACCTAAAAAGATAGGTGGTCAAAAAAAGCAGAGGCTATGGCAAACTATTTCGAGACAGTTTTCATTCAGGAGCTTCTTCTAGACGAAGAACTTGACCCACGTAGCGTCAAAAAACCGTCTGCTCACCGTAGACTTCGATCAAGACGATGTAGTTAAGGCTCTTAGTACCTCAGACACGGAAAAGTCAACAGGACCGGGTGAACTACATCCCAAAATCCCGAGACAGATTGCACAATATATTGCAGCCTCACTAACTGTGATATTCAGCATATCACTTGGCCAATGTGAGTCACCTACAGACTGGAAGGATGAAGTCGAGCAGAAAAGTCTAGAACGAATAAAATAGCCTTGGCATACAGGTTTCCACACCGAGTCATCAATTCTTGGAACCTGTTACCCGAAGCAGTGGTGTCCGCACCTCTAATTGACTCATTCAAGAGAAGACTAGACACACAGGAGCATACCAGAAAAGGAATGGCATAGGCTGTATGCATTCTGTCCTTACTGCACAAATATGAATCTGAAAAACCCACAGCTCATGGTGAATATGGACATATCATAACACCCAACATAGAAAAATTTCTTATCAAAATTAGTGTATATATTTGGCCGAAGCAGATGCATAACAAGTAATATGTTGAAAAGGTTAGATAGCTGAATTAAAACTAACAATAATATACACGCTGTGCCATTTCTCTGGATGTGATATTGTTCACCCTTCGAAGAAACTGTATGAAACCGCATAATTTAAAAAACTAACCGTGTAATAAGATAAAACCCCTAGGCTTATGTCAAGCACAAACCAACGGTATTGCCAACCATTGACGAGATTAGTCCATTTGCTTAAAGGGCCTTCCATCGTAAACGAGTCATCCATATTTTCCGCATTCAAAAACCTCGGCTCCCAGTACGCATTCTTCCAGATAAACACCACATCCAAATCAGAGCATCAAGAGTATTACACTAAATTTCCACACAGTAAAATTCAGACCAATAGATTTTATTTGAAAAAGGTTCTGTAAAACAGTGTACAATGTTTGAAATACTTATGTGTTCAGTGTAAATCTATGGCAGTAAATAGATTCATAGTCTATCCATATTGCTTTTGAACTTCCGTCTGCCATTCATTGATAGTCTGTCAATATTTGTGCACCGTAGAAGCATGTGGAGTACAGTGAGGAAACCAGATTGTGCAATATATCGACGTGCCACATTTTACCAGGTCTGTTATCAACAATTTACTGTTTGGGCACACCAGATGATTTTATTATGTGATATGAACCAAACACCTTGGATGCACCATCCTACCTCAAATTTAACGCATTCCTACCAACTATGTGTTTTTACATTTTTGTATTGACAGCCGCCTATTTGTTTGGTTTCAGCTACGGCCGTCTAAGATTTAGCTAGCAACCCAATGATGTAAATGTGTTTATTACCGGCCAAAGCTTAAAAATATCTCTATTACTACTTCCGTTTATTCTTTAATGAAGCGTCTTCAGTTCTAGTATCATTTTCATTGAAAAATAATTTGCTTCACTGTTCAGCTGCTCTACCTGGTTTCATTTACTATAATAATAACAATTTCACTAACAAGGACATATTACAGTCGCTGAACATCTAGACAAACAAGATAGGGACGTACAACAAGAATCTTCGTTCTCGGTGCCTGCGACAAATATAAAGATTCTATAGTCAGTGAAATGTCACTGGAAAATAGGCCGTTGACCGGCATTCCAACGGCCACTGTGATCCAGCCATTCCTTTATGGTTCCATTCAATTCTCGTTCATTTTTCTCATGTCTATCTCCATTTCCCGGCGTAATGTGTTCTTTGGTCTTCCTCTCTTCCTTTGGCCTTGGAGATTACAAGTGAGGGTTTGTCTTGTGACGCAGTTGGGTGCTTTCCTCAATGTTTGTCCTATCCACTTCCAGCGCCTCTTCCTAATTTCTTCCTCCGCTGGGATCAGGTTTGTTCTCTCCCACAGTTGGTTGTTGCTAATAGTGTCCGGCCAACGGATCCGAAGTATTTTGTGTAGACAACTGTTAATAAACACCTGTATTTTCTGGATGATGGCTTTCGTAGTTCTCCAGGTTTCCACCCCATACAGTAGAACTGTCTTGACATTTGTATTGAAAATCCTGACGTTGGTGTTGGTTGACAAACAGTTGTTTTGAGTTCCAGATGTTCCTCAGTTGTAAATATGCTGCTCATGCTTTGCCGATCCGCTCCTTCACATGTGAGTCAGATCCATCCTGTTCATCAATGATGCTGCCCAGATAAGTAAAAGTTTTTACAACTTCCAAAGCTTCTCCGTCAATTGTGATTGGGTTGGTGCATGCTGTGTTGTATCAGAGAATCTTGCTTTTTCCCTTGTGGATGTTGAGACATACTGCTGCCAAGGCTGTTGCCACATTTTTCGTCTTCTCCTGCATTTGTTGTTGCAATTGAGATAGGAGGGCCAGACCATCTGCGAAGTCTAAATCGTCCAGCTGCATCCTAGATGTTTACTGCATCCCAAGCTCCCCCCTAGATATTGACGTCTTCATGATCCAGTCGACCACCAGAAGAAAGAGAAAGGGTGAGAGTAAGCAACCTTGCCTGACACCGGTCTTTACCTCGAACGACTTTGTCAACTGTCCTCCATGCACGATTTTGCAGTTTAATCCATCATATGAATTCTGTATGATATTGACTATCTTCTGAGGCACGCCGTAGTGTCGAAGAAGCTTCCATAGTGTTGTTCTGTCCACGCTATCAAATGATTTTTCGTAGTCAATGAAGTTGATGTACAGTGATGAATTCCATTCAGTTGATTGTTCCACAATGATCTGTGGAGTTGGGAGTTGGTCTGTACACGATCCATCCTTACGGAATCCTGCCTGTTGGTCACGAAGTTTGGTGTCTACGCAGTCCTTCATCCTGTTTAACAATACCCTGTTGAAGACTTTTCCCGGTATTGAGAGAAGAGTGATGCCCTTGTAGTTATCACAGTTGCTGAGATCGTCTTTCTTTGGTATTTTGATCAGAAGTCCTTCTTTCCAGTCTTTTGATACTTGTTCCTCATCCTATATCTTATTGAAGAGAATGTGGAGTATCCTTGCAGTTACCGCTACGTCTGCTTTTAGTGCCTGTGCTTGAATGTTGCCTAGTCATGCTGCTTTGCGACTCTTGATTTGTCTGATGGCCATGCTGATTTCTTCAATTGTTGGTGGGCCAACATTGATTGGGAGGTCCGTGGGTGCTGCTTTGATATTGGGCGGGCTCAGTGGGGCTGGTCGATTCAAGAGTTCTTTGGAGTGTTCTACCCACCTGTTTCGTTGTTCTTCAATGTTGGTGATTACCTTGCCTTCCTTGCTTTTCACTGGTCGTTCTAGTTTGCGGTGATTTCCAGACAGTTTCTTTGTTGTGTCACACAGTTGTCTCATGTTTCCTTCTCTCGCAGCCTTTTCCGCAGTCATTGCTAAATCTTCCACATGTTTACGTTTGTCAGTTCTGATGCTCCTTTTCACTTGTTTGTTTACTTCTGTGTATTCAGCTTGTGCCTTGGCTTTCTCTGCTTTTGTTCGTCTGGTATTGATTGCTGCCTTCTTGTTCCTCCTTTCTTGAATCTTATCCAGTGTATCAACAGTGATCCATTCCTTGTGATGTTGCTTCTTGTGACCCAGGACCTCATGGCATGTTGAAGTGATTGCCTCCGTGATCCCTTTTCAGTTGCTCTTAAGAGTAGTTCTGTTATAACTTGTGACCTGTGTGTCCTGTTAATATAACGTAACGATACCGCCAATCAGAGAGCAGTAAACTATCGATGATACCAATGAAGCCAAAACCCGCGAGAGCAGTCTGGAGTCCTGGTTTCTCCTGCTTTCCGCCTAGCTCAGCTAGATATATCCAGAACAACAATCTCAGCCTGTACAATATGCAACATTCATCTTAAGCATACTGGGTTCATATACCAACCAGACAGACCACACCGTACCATAAAATATGAAAAAAATTTGTGGAATAATTAGCGAAACGTGGCTGTGAATGTAGGTGGTAGTAATTAATAAACAGGGCATAATCCAAGAATGGTAGATCGTATAATAATAGTTCATATGTCAAAATAAAGCTCATCATAAAAAGGACATGAATATAAACAGTTTAGATATTTACCAACTATACGATAAAAATATACGCATAGTATTCTTCCATAAATGGATCACAAGAATCACCATTCATTATGCTCATCAGGATCTAAAAAGTTCCCTCTGCGTCGAGTGAATCGTGAAAGGCCCCGAACCTATTGCTGAATGCTATCTTGAATTGGTCATATCCCGAAGAAATGCCGTATTAAACTTTTTAACGTCGTCCACCCCGCTGTCCTGTGCTCTTTGAGTTCCTATTTCATGTTGATGACCAAGAAGTGATGATCTGTGGCTATTATCATTCCATGTACCTAAATAAGTGGTTGCTCTGTTTTATCGGCCTCGTGACTTCTGCAGGAACTCGACTTTTGCTATGAGGTGTCATAACTCTTCTAAATGAAGACCTAACTAGCAAGATAGAGTTTAAATGGTCTGAATTATTTTTTCTAGATAGCGTTCTTTTAGCAAGTTAGTTTTCTAAGGGATGTGGCCGCTAAATCCATGCCCAAACTTCTCCTTTATCAAGGCTCGGGACAGTCAGTAGCCCCAGAGGGGCTCTAGGCTCCAAAATCCCTTCATTTTCATACTTATTGATATTGTCGTAATTGGTTCCTCGACTTATAATTTTTTTCTCCCTATTTGTCTATCCATTCTGAATCAACTTTACTTTTAAACACCCGGAGTCTCTAATTGGCACACAATATCCTGTTTTACACGTGGTCGAATACAAAGATTATCCAGATTCGTATTATCTTCGCCACGTATATATGACCAATGCAAATTGGTGTTTGACGATGACCCACTGAGATTATTTAGATTTTTCAGTACACCGTTCTTAACTGTTACTGCAAAGTGTCTTATTTTACCATGAAACTTTATTTCATCACCGACTAGTTTTTTCATTCTTTTCGCCACACAAATGGTGCCGATTTTCCCTATTGTGTTTCACAAAGTTATTTACTAAATTATTTACACACCCTAATTTTCTTTCGTCCCATTTCCTTAGACTTAAATTTTTAATACTTCTAACATTACAACACTTCTTTAAATATGACGAACAATGTGCGAAATTCATATAAACGTGTGTATAAATTTGTTTCTGAAACCAGAAGAGGTTTTTCAAAAATTCTGTGTACACATAATCTGTTTATGGATTGCAATAATAATAAGTAAACAAGGGATGTCCGACTTCGAACTCGATACCATTCTCTTAAAAATTTGGGACATTATCTATCAAACTATTATTTACAGATGACGATTGAAATATGTAGATTAGCGTATCGAATAATCCTCTGTTCGATACCGCTAGTAGTATTGGTTGACGACTATAAATTCATTCAAACCAAAGATACGATTGATAGAAAGGTTTGTAATCAGTATATAATAGCATAACTCCACTTGGGGTCCCTCCGGGGGCTACTGCCGGTCCCAAGCCCGGATAAAGGAGGATGGTTGGACATGGGGTTAGCGACCCCATCCCGTAGAAAACTAATTCGCTAAAAAAACGCTAACCAGAAAAAATCATTCAAACCTTTCAAACTCTGCCCTGGGAGCCAGAAGGTCTTCATTTAGAAGAGTTATGACGCTTCATGATGAAAACCGAGTTCCTTCGGAAGTTACGAGGCCGATGTCCCTTCTGACAACCAGAGCAACCATTTATTTAGGTACATGGAATACTCGTACAATGTGGGAGACCGGGGACTCTTCCAAATTGCTGCAGAAATGAGGAGATACAACCTGGAGTTGCTCG